AATTTTAAATATCTACTTTTTTCCATAAGTAATTTGACTTGCTTAGACCTGTTAATTCATTAGTAGACAGTTTTAACATTTTTTGGGGTGTTTTTACACATGCAGATTTGTTAGCTTATTTACTCCTAATTGACCATCTGCTGAACTTTATTTCTAATTAGTGAAGCTACAAACTTACAGACTTCTCATCTCTGACTATAGAAGTTGAAAGGGCCCAGTTATGTTTAATAAGATCCTTTGGTTCTGCTTAGAAAATCTGAGTGGATTTACTGTAATGGTCCCGCAAATTTGTTTGCATGGGCAGGACTTTAGATATTTGTTGCTTCTCTTAGAAGAGATGACTCCTGACCCATGTATGTATTTGTGAGAAGTGCATTTGCATTCTTAAGCTCTTTGTAATGCTGTGAGTGATTCATGGTTTCCCCCTTGCGGCTTTAGTTTCAGTAGCTATGCATTCTAAGTTGAAAATGCACATGTTCACACACAAACATAAATTTCAGTTTAAGTTGCTGACTCAGAATAAACATCTTTGCTATTTGCAAAATACATTTAATAGTCATTGCTGAACAATGCACATTTAAAGGGGCAATATCATGTAAAATAAACTTTTTTGAGATTTATATCAAGTTATAATGTTTTACTCTCATGCCCAAAGCCTTGCTTTGACTCATGCATGCATGTTTGAGAAATCCTGCAGCATTTTTGGAAAGCCATGCTGAGGAGCAAACGCCCCTGGGACATGTCTTTAAGCCGAGCTTCCTCTTGGCAGATCACACCCCCTCACCACCACCCCACACACCCGGCCCATGACTCCTGTAGGCTCTCGGGTGAAAGTGAAACATAACTCTCTGCTGAGCTCTTAACATTAGTTCTCACTCAGTGAAGCTCTTTTCAGATTAAAATTACCTTTGAGGAAATGTTTTTTTCAGACGCCGAGTAAACTGTATCATGGCAGCCCCCCCGCACCAAAATGGGCAAAACAGAAGCGAACGGTGGTTCTTAAAGAGACAGAGGCCAATTTCAAGGCGTTTAGAAGAGGAAGTGATGAGAAGACAAGTTTATTTTCTATTTAAACATAAAAACAGCATTTTAATAACAACTAAAGGTGACATAGATACTTTATTATGATATAGTATTTAAATGTATGCCTGAGAAACACATAATATTGGCTCTTTAAAATATATTTTGAGTATGATGGAGATTGATCTTGCTGTCATTCTTGCTTTATATTTCTTTGCGGGGCGGCTGTGGTAGAGTGGTTACGGGAACCATCCTGGAACCGGAAGGTTGCCGGTTTGATCCCCCGTCCAATTGACTCAGTCGTTGTGTCCTTGGGCAAGACACCTTACCCACCTTGCCTATTGATGGTGGTCAGAGGGTCCGGTGGTGCCTGTGTATGGCAGCCTCATTTCTGTCAGTGTGCCCCAGGACAGCTGTGACTACAGTTGTAGTTTGCCATCATCAGTGTGTGAATTCATGTGTGAATGGGTGAATGTCTGTTGTGTGAAGCGCTTTGAGTGTCCTGGATGGATAGAAAGGAGCAATATATGTACTGTCCATTTACCATTTACTGAAAATTGTATTTTATGTGTATTCTAGATTAAACATTATTTTTCCACTTTTTTTCCCTCCCATGTATCACACAAAGAATCCAGAATGATCCAGAACAATCTGCTGTGGTTTTCATTTCTCTACAATTTTTTTTCTTTCTGTCAAATAGCTCAGTTTTATTAAGCAAATTAAATCAGATTGGAGACTGTCAGCACAACACTGTGGGCCTCAGAGAAGACTTGAGCTCATGACTTGGCACACTTTTATTTATGTATGTAGATAATTTTTATTGCATCCATTTGTTCCAGTCACCCTTGGATGTATGAGAAATTCTGCTCGTTGGAGTTAAAAACGTCCTCTGAAGTTTTCTGTTGCAGTGGCTGATAAGCAGTCAGAGTATGATTGACTCGTGGAGGGATTCTCTGTTTAGTAACATCCAGTCATTTTCCTGCAAGTGTTTGAGGCTCTTGCTGTCACCTTGCTGCTTGTCATTTGATCTTCTGATGCCGAAATTTAACAAGCAGAAGCCGTGCTGCTTCTAAAACCTCAAGAGCTCAAATAACAGAATTTTTTGATCAGTGAATCTTTTTGCCTCACTTTAAATGGAAGAAATTCTTGGTTGTGACTAGAGCTAAAGATGTCCTGTCAAAATATTATTTTTATGTACCTAAACAGCAGAGGTTGTGCACATGAAGGATCTACTGTTTAGTCTGTTTTATGTTTACAATTATTTTGTTTTGCAATGAATAATTAACCTACAGTTTTACATCTGTACTCTGAAGGTTAGATAAGCTAAAGCAGTTACAATTATTTTTTTTGTTTTGTTTTTGATTTTTTTTTTGGCTGAGTATTACTTACAGATGCAATACACACAAGTGATAGTTGTTAATTAATTGCTTATTCTCAAAGGTGAAACTATGAGCCAAAAAAAAAAAAAAACATCAATCAAAAGCAAAAGAACAGAACTCGTGATTTATTTTTGTGAGAAGCAATAAATTTATTAGCTAAAAGCCTGTATGTTTTTTTTTTTTTTTCCCCTGTGGCCATTATCTTTTCATTAGGGGGTGGGGGTGGGTGTGAAGATTGGGCTTTAAACAGTTATGAATTTAAAACCAAGACCACTCTCTGAATACATTTACTAGCGTGTGTACACTTTATTGGATTTGTTAGCATTGAGTCCAATCATCCTGATGGCTATCTACTGCAGGTTCAAGACTTCTCCACTTAACTACACCTCAGCAAAACACATCTGTACTATTAAGTTCCTTTTTAATCATTAAAAAACTGCATCTCTCTACAATAAAACCAAAAGAGGACAGTTACAGTCACCATAAAAGTCTCTACAGCGACTTAAAGTAACACTGAGTTAGTGATTTTAGAATATTTACACCCTTTATTATGGTATATTGTAAACAGCTTATTCACCAAGGTAAAATGTTCCCTTTGTTATTTGAAGCACAGATGGATATTATCTTTAAAGATTTCTCACACTGACAGAAGGGCGAGATTGAAACTTCCAAAAAATAAAAAAATAAAACAGGTTAACATCGGTACAGCTTTTTTCCCTCCTATCTCTATAATGAGCTCATTGATTAAATATTATCTGTGTTCTACAACTAACAAACCTGACAGACATGTTACATGCAAAACAACATTTGAGACACAAGCTTTCTTTCTTTCTTTTTTTTTTTTTTTGTACTTCTTGTGGCTGTTTGAGGTGTCCTGCTTGTTCACCATCAAATAACCATCCAACTAATGAACCTGTTCTTGGTTTTAATAAATGTGGGTAATGGACAGTCGGGTAAATGGACCTGATTGCTCTTATCTGCAKGCTAATGATTTCCTTGGCTGTTTTCAATTACGGTGGGAAAGAGGTCACTAAAAGGTTTGTTTCTTACCTCAGCTATTCGGCTTCATTAAAGCCCCAGTATGTATTCATTAACACTGCAGTCATAGGTCCCCAAAGTATGTGCTCTGCTTCTCTGTTTCATCCCTTTATAAATACATTAGAAATGTATTAATCCTCCACTCACAGTTTGTTATATGGATCCTTTTTTGTGGACACACTCATGGTAATGGTTTAATACTTGTTTGTCAGAGTATTGGAGCTGATGGGGACATGTTCAGGGCTGCTTGGTTTTAAAAATTACACCTTCTATCTTCTTGTTTGCCCTTTATTTGCTAAAGTATATTAGCTGTGTAGCTATTTCCCGTCAGCTTTCTTAGAGTTTTAGATTTATGTTTAACAAGAGAGTTCATTTATGCATCCATATATGTGCTTGAATAGAAAACGATTGGATTTATTCTTGGAGGATGTGTACCTCTCCTTCAGAATGCTTCATTTGTTTTGATGACAGACTGGGAATTTTAAGATTATAAGCCTGAAACTCCTGATTCATCATCAAAGTTGGTTAAGTATTTTACTTTTTTGCAGATAAGAGGTGAAAGTTTCATCATACGAAGAAGTCCATTTACCTGATATTCAATCACTTAAGTTAAGAGTCCATGATGTTAGCTTTTCTGCACAATGTCTTTGTTGTATTCCTATCTGAGGGATTTATTTTATTTTCTCCTTATAAATACTTTATAGCTTTTAAAATATCTGACATCATTTTTTATTGATAGACTTTATTTTGAAATGCTATGCAGAAAAAAAGAAATAAAACTGAAACCACACTGCTCATGATTGAATATTTGGATGATATTCAGACTTGTCCATTGCTGCTGACTGGTCTGGAGTTGTTTCTGTAATATACTGTATTGTGCAAATCTTTCACTCATTCATTTGTTCCCTGAACCACCTGCTGCACATTGCCAAGTGTCAAATCTGTTTTACATTATGTTGCTCATTTTCCATTGCAGACATATAAACAGCTGAACTTGCATTTTTTTCCCCAAACTACACCTACATCCCATACCTTATAGTGATGCTTGAATAAGTTTATTTCTCTATGCATTTGTAGGTCAGAGAGAAAAAAAATAAAAAAATCTACATTTATTCCTCAAGGTTGCTCATTATCCCGAACCGTTTTGCCATCCCCAAAGCTTCTCTGTGCACTGTCGTTAAGCGTGCAATTCACCACCGTGTCGTGAGCTCCATTTTTATCTGTCACATTCGTTTGTGCATGATGGCTGCTGATCCTTCGCTCATTAAGAATTCTCCCCCTCCTCCTCCTCTGCCTGCTGCTGCTGCTGCTGCCGCCGCTGCTATCGCGTCTCCTTGAGAAGCTGCGACTYTGACTCATGTTTGTCCTTGACTGACAACCCCATCTTTACTTCCTATGAGCTTTTCACGTTTGCCCCCATTCATCCAGATTTTTGACTTTTCTTTCCCACCTCACTCAACTCGTTTGTCCCACCCTCCTTCATTTTGCACTGTCCATTCTGATTCTCTCTGTCGATCACATTTCCACTGACCATTTTATTCCTCTTCTCTGTCATCTCGGCAGGAGCTGGTGGGCAGTAACCCTCCGCAGAGGAACTGGAAGGGAATAGCGATCGCCCTCCTTGTCATTCTGGTCATCTGCTCACTGATCGTCACCTCCGTCATCCTGTTGACACCAGGTACATGGCGCAGGACTGGAGATGGGGGGGGGGCGCCACCACTGCATACACTTCACGTTGCTCTGTTTACACAGCTATTGTTATGCACAGACATGCCCATTAGAGTTCACAATCAATCTCCCCACAAACAACACAGAGAACAAAGTGCGAGTGTCAGTGTGTCTCTGTCCTTGTGTGGCCCGGGCACCGGTGCAGTGTTTGGACCGTTGCCCTAATATCACTCCACATCCAAATGGGCGCTCTTGCTTTAACAAATGTAGTCAAGGTCAGTAAAGCTCATTGAATTCAGCTTGTAGAACATTAGTTTCTTCATAAAGAAGTCCCTCGTGAGCTTTCTTCACTTGGTCGCATTTTTATTTATTTATTTATTTTTAGTTGTCTGCGTTTCACTTAGTTGTTTTAAAGCTTTTTGTGACTGACCTTCAGGCTTCCTTTTCTTTTTCAGATTTAATCAGTAGACCATCTGTTTGCATTCAGGCTCATAAAGCTCCTTGAAATGGTTTTATGCACTGCCACAGTGGAATCAGTTAATATAGCTGTCAGCGTGCGTGCACTATAATTAATTTATGACAACAGCGCGTCCTTGTTTATGATGCTCCGTCTCTAAAAAAAAAATTGCAGGTAATGTTTCCTAAAATGTTGAAAGCGCGGCGGCAAGGCGGGGTCACAGACTACAAAACATGAGCTCAGTTTATCTTTAAGTCGTTCTAATCGTTGATTGTTGTAGGAAAGMTTCAAAATATCACAAGAGTAAAACTCTCTCATTTAAGGCTTCAGTGCTACATGGCTTGATGCGTTGCGTCACTTCCTGTCTATGGCTTGGTCTCATTCTGAGATGTTGATGAACTGGAATAAGATGAAACTGAAGGAGTTTGGAAAAAAATAATTTAAAAATGAAGACAAAGAAGGGCATGTCCAAATTGTTTTAACTTATCTTAATGTGCACGCTGCTTCTTCTTTACTTGTTTAAACAGAAGTACCGTGTCTTCATTAAAACTAGATCTTTTAGCTTGTTGAACCTCAAAGGGACTCTCATGAAGGATTTTTTTTAAGATTTCTAAATATTAATAAATGTGCTGGCCTTGTCAAAGTTGAATCTGAATGTTGAAGGGATATAATTAGGTATGTGGAGCAACAGAGTAAAGCCTGAGGATGCTGTGATTCCATAAATCATTCCTCAAGGACAATGCTTTGTTTGTACAAAAGCCTTTTTTTTTTATTTTACTCCTTCTTGAGGTTATCGCGGTTGGGATGAGCTGCTAATTGAATCCCTGAATTCTACAAAGTTTTATAAGGTGTCCTTTTGTTTGCTTACAATGTTGAAGAAACATATCCCCTAAACATATAAACCAAATAAGTAGGCACTTCTAGAAGAAAATCTATTACAGTAGTTTTTATTAGGTGTGAAAAAGCGGAATGGAATTTTGCTACCAGCTATACAACCCATGTMAAATATAAATCACAGATATGCTAATATTTTTTTCATAATCCAAACTTTCTGACGTGAAGAAACAGAAGAAAGAGGATTTTTTGTAGTCAGTCACGCTCACTTATTTAGATGATGAAGAAAAAATAATATGGAATCACTCAAATTTAAGGGAAAAAATGAATCACTCTGTAAACTTCAGTTCTAAAACAAACACCTGCATCAGATTAAATCTGTTGTTTATTCTTCAGTTTAAAAGAAGAGCTCACACTTTGGAGAGCCATTGCACAAAGTAGCTTGCCATGAGTCATGGTTCCAACATGAGAGATGTCCATTCAAACAGAGAGGAAAAGATAAATCCAAAAGGTAGATCATCACAGAATGCTTCAAGATATGTTGATTATGAAGATTATAGCCAGAACAAAACATGTCATTTTCCACAGTCATTGATGGTAAAGGCCTGCATGTCAGGTAAAGGTGTGAGGGATCTAAGTTATTTACATCTTCAGTAATAGCTAAAATCTRTTGAAATTGTGAACACTTTTCTTACTCCATCAGATGAATGGATGTTTGATGATGATGAAGACGACTTTATATTTCAGTATGTAAATGCTTTTTTACCATAGGACGAAGGACATGAGAATTTAATTACAAGAGTGACATACAGTGTTTCATTTCCTGCAAACAGCCCAGATCTTAAATCTGTGGTGCATTAAAGGAAACCATCAGTGACAAATCTCCAACCTGCAAATGATCTGGCAACAGCAAAGAGAGACAGTTGGAGCCAAATTGATAACGAGAGCATCCAAGCTGTCATAGAAGCCAGAGGTGGTGCAACAGAGTCCTAATGACATAGCATTTGTCTCATGATATTGTAATAACTTCTTCAATATGGATCCTACCCAATCTAAAAAAAATGTTGTGACTGACGTCACTTATATTTTCTAATTAAAGAAGGTTGGAGTTTTGAAAAATGATAGTTTTGCGGTATTACTAGGAAATTAATTTTTATACAAAATTAAACAATTGAAAGAACATCCTCCAAGACTGGTGATTTCACATATATATATTTCAAATCATCAACAAGACTGGCTACGGATACCGACTCAAGAATGGGGCCACAATCAGTCACCTCCTCTACATGGATGACATCAAGCTGTACGCCAAGAGTGAGCAAGACATTGACTCACTGATCCACACCACCAGGATCTACAGCACTGACATTGGGATGTCATTCGGACTAGAGAAGTGTGGTCGGATGGTTACAAAGAGAGGGAAGGTCATCCGCACAGAAGGGGTCTCACTCCCAGAGGGAACAATAGCAGACATAGAGCACAGCTACAAGTACCTGGGAATACCACAAGCAAATGGCAACCTCGATGAGGTCACAAGGAAAGGAGTCACAGCCAAATACCTCCAACGAATAAGGCAAGTCCTGAGAAGCCAGCTCAATGGCAAGAACAAGAKCCGTGCAATAAACAGCTATGCCTTACCAGTAATCAGATACCCTGCCGGAATAATTAGCTGGCCAATGGAAGAGATGAAGGCCACGGATGTTAAGACTCGGAAGCTACTAACCATGCATGGAGGGTTCCACCCCAAATCCAGCACCCTGGGACTGTACACAAGCCGTAAGGAAGGAGGCAGAGGACTAGTGAGTGTGAGAGCCACTGTCCAGGATGAAACATCCAAGATCCATAGATACATCATGGACAAAGCCTCAACGGACGATGTGCTCAGCGAATGTCTCAGGCAATGGGGAACAGAAGACGGGGTGCTAGAGGTACCATCATGGGAGGACAAGCCCCTACATGGGATGTACCATCGACAAATAACTGAAGTGGCTGATATCAGGAAATCCTACCAATGGCTGGAAAAAGCTGGACTCAAGGACAGCACAGAGGCACTTATCCTAGCTGCACAGGAACAGGCCCTAAACACCAGAGCAATAGAGGCTCAGATCTACCACACCAGACAAGACCCAAGGTGTAGGTTGTGCAAGGAGGCCCCTGAGACAGTCCAGCACATAACAGCAGGGTGCAAGATGCTGGCAGGGAAAGCDTACATGGAACGACATAACCAAGTGGCGGGCATAGTGTACAGGAACATCTGTGCAGAATATGGACTGGAAGCCCCAAGATCGAAGTGGGGAACACCCCCAAAGGTAGTGGAGAATGACCGAGCTAAGATCCTGTGGGACTTCCAGATCCAGACAGACAAGATGGTAATGGCGAACCAACCGGATATTGTGGTGGTGGATAAAGAACAGAGGAAAGCCRTTGTGGTGGATGTCGCAATACCAAGTGACCACAACATCAGGAAAAAGGAGCATGAGAAACTGGAGAAATACCAGGGCCTCAGAGAGGAACTGGAAAAGACCTGGAAGGTGAAGACCACAGTGGTACCTGTGGTCATCGGGGCCCTCGGGGCAGTCACCCCCAAACTGGAGCAGTGGCTAAAACAGATCCCAGGAACAACATCAGACATCTCAGTCCAGAAATGTGCAGTTCTAGGCACAGCTAAGATACTGCGCAGAACCCTCAAGCTCCCAGGCCTCTGGTAGAGGACCCGAGCTCAGAGGATGAAAGAGACCACCCGCGGAGGGTGAGAAGGGAATTTTTTTTTTCTACTAGGGGATGTATGTGCATAATAATGGCAAGACTGAGCACAACAGCAAGTTACAAGTTAGTTTTATGACATCATCAAGATTCCTTCCATGTGAAGACTTCAAAACAGGCTGGCTTATTAAGATCTACTCTTGAATATCTTTAGAAAAATGTACAAAGTGGACAAAGTAGTTAAAGACCATACTGGAGAGTCGGTCATCGTGGAAAAATAAACTGCAGATGAGACTCATGCTTATTTYGCTCCAAAGTTTGAAGCCATTCAGCAGTAATTACAGCTTAAAACTGGCAGGACCCTACGGGACCCAGGTACACTCATCTCACTGCCATGGAGAGGTTTGGCCAATGSTAAACTTTATGGACAAATTGCAACTGTAAAGTGAAAGGGCAGGCATAGAACCAAGGTCAGACTACTTAATTATGCATGGAAACATCCAAACTTGGGCGCAGTAAAACAACAGCTCATACTCTGAACTGATGAGTTGGTATTTGAAATTTCTGTCTGCAGCAGAAGGCAGTTTGTTCATCAAAGAGCTGGAGAATGATGCAGTAACAAAGCATGGGGGAAATTCCCTACAAAGTTAGTGTTGCATTTGAAGATTTAGTCAGGGTCAGTGGTGTCTTAGCTGCTGAGATGCTAATACAAGTAGATGCTATTCCATCATGTAATACAATCAGAGAGAAATCTAACTGGCTTCCAAATTGTTCTTCAGCAGAGCAATGAGCTCAAACACAGAGCCAATGTCATTAAGAGCTGTCTCCATAATAAAAAAAATACAAAGGAGTAGTAGAAGTGATGTCTAGAATTTCATCAAGAGACCAAAGGATTTGAGCCAAAAACATCCACAGAAAATCTGTGATTAGATCGCTAAGATGTTTGGAACAGCCCACCTAATGAGATTCTTCTAAAACTGGATGCAAATGTGCCTTCAAAATCAATTCTTACAGGA